AAAATGAAAAACAGTCCATACACTAGCATGTTTCAGAGCTGACTTCTTTGTCCCTGAATTCCCTCAAACTTTGTTGTACCTAAGTCCAGGTTCTTAAACTTGTCTCAGAAGACAAGAAAAAAAATGTAAATTTAATCTTGCAATGATTTTCAAAAGCAATCTGCTTTAGGGGTGAAATTACTGCAGATATTAAGCTGAGTGAAAAAAAAAAAACACTAAGAAGTACAGAAATAGGAAGTTTAGCATTCTATTATTTTTTTACCCCACTGGTTTTTAGTTTCTCATTCACAGTCAGGTTTCCGGAGGAATGAGCCATTCTCTCTGACTCCCTGCCCTACCTGCTGGGCTTTCTAGCCACCTCACCATTTGCAAACAGATTTGACTGAGGTGAGAGGTCTCAAGAATGCTGAGTTCATATACATTTTGTGAAGTTCAGTGGCTGAGTTAGAGTGCCAGAGGAATGTCCTCTAAGAAGGACAAACTGCGCTGTCAGTGTGAGGGCTGTGAGTTTGAACACAGACCTGCCAAGCACCAACCACCGACACCCTGGGAGCTTAGAGCCATGTCACTACCTCCCTGCCCAGCTGGGAGTCGTAAGCATGAGGAGAGTTTGATGGTACCCAGGCTGATACCACCAAAGGATGTTTGGTGGGAGCAAGAAGGGTGTGACATGGGCTGTGCAAGAAAGCTTGATTAATGCTGTCAGTGAAAAACACTGCACATACCTACTGAAAAATGAGCTTCATTAGTTGGTATGCTTAAAGTATAACCTGATGTTTTCTTTGTCTTTTTCATGACTTACAAGCTTAATGGAAGCTGGGGTGTCACATGTTTATTGAGATTAAGTTATCATGCTTGGTAACCTGTTAGCAATAATGGGGCAGTTACTTGAAGTGCAAAGGATTAATAGGGAATTATCTAAATTTAACAGGAGAGACACTGAGCCTACTGTTGCAGTGGAGTGATTCCTGCACAATGTCCAGTGAAAACAAGCTGCTTCCTATTGTTGTAGGAAACAAGATGACTCTTATGGAACAGGATGACAAATAGGCATGGAGCGATAATTCTGTTTCATGAGAACAACAGAGTGATCCCAGCAGTCAGATGTATTTTAGATCTTCTCTGAAAGTTTAATTTAAAAAATTCCTTCTGTCTCAATGAAGACAATGTATTCTAACATGCTCTACAGTCATGCCAATATGAAAATATGATATGGTGTTTGTCTGACTCTAAGAGTAACTAAGCCAATAACAACCAGCCACATCAGACAGCTGATTAAACTGTTAATAAAATAATTAATTTTAAAATATTCTTCATGTCCTTCCCTGTTATTGTAATACTTGATAATGTGACACAATTAAAAAACATAATAAGTTTTAAAACACAAAAATAAAAAGAAATCAAGATGAGTACAATTTCAGAATGGAAAATATTTGAGAAATCAACGTAGGTCATTTTCTGAAAAGACTTTGGAGAAAGGCACGAAATGAAATGATTTCGAATTAAAGCAAAGGTCCATAATACTCATCACAGACTGATTTGAACTTCAGCGCTGGAAAAAATAAGATGGTTGGTGTCGACTGTGAGCGGAAGGCTAAATTTCTAGCTTTGAATCCTCATTGTTTGGGCCAATACAATTTATGACTCATGAATCCTGGCAAGACTGATGGTTGTTTGATCTCTAGTCTGTAACTCATTCTCTTGTTTACACTTTCCTTAATAATTTACCATTATTCTGTAAATAGTCCTGAACCTCAGATTCTCCTCCTGTCATGCTTTCAGCCTCTACACATACTCAGCACATCATCAGTGTTTCTTCTCTGTGTTTTATTTCCTCTAATCATTTCATCTTAGATCTTTTCTAGACCAATTTCTGTCTCTTGCACTACAACGGAACAGCTTTCATGAGTCTCCAGAGATCTGTTCCTAGCCAGATGCCAGACACACACCCTCTTTGACAGGCACTTTCCACGCAGTCAGCACTGTTTATCTTCATAAAACCTTGTCTACTAAGAGCTTTTGCTCATCCTTCTGGTATTACTGTAGCCTCTCTTCTGATTCATCCATGAGGATTCAATGAGATATCTCCTGTCCTGTCCTTCTCTCTTTATCTCCACATTAGCTCTATATAATCTCATTTACAAGGACAGATGCAATTGCTATCTCTGTGCTGATGACTCCATAAGTTTCCAGTTACTATCTTTTAGATAAAGTCTTTCCTGTCCTTCCACATACCTCTCACCTGAGAAAGAGTGATTTTTCCAACATGGATATTGTACCATTCGTTCCTCTAACCTTGAAAATATTTCTTCCAAATACTTCTGAAGAGATCATTTATTTGGCCTGATGTTATGAACTTACCCTTGTTTCTTTGAATTGATGTGTGTATTTGCTTTCAAGGCCTTTTGCTATCTATCTGCATGTCATTTATCATCTCTTGGTACCATTCAGCATTAATACATTGACTCCTGCCTCCATAGTTCACGTGGTAAGAGCTTCAGTTGTCCTTATATTACATTTTGAAATATGCCTCTGTGTTTTCTCCTTTCCATTTAGCAGAAATTTCTGTCCAGTCTCATTATTCTCCATAAAATCCTTTATTCAATATGATTCCTGCACAAAAAGCCTTGACCAAATTTGGGCCCCTAACTATCTGATCACTAATATCAGTGTCCTCTTTTCATCTCTCTGTCAATAGCTATAGATTCTGCTTCATTTAGTATTGAGGTGGAGCCTGTCTTTTTTTAAAAGTTTGTAAAACTTAAAATAATGAGGCTTTGGTTCACAACTGCAGCTTCTGGTCTAAATGGCAATACAATTAGTAATTACTAATGTAGAAGAAGTATTATGCAGAAATATGCTCCTATGCAGTATATTAACCAGCTCCATAGCACAAGATACTGTTTTGAAAGCAAGGAATTACAAGTCTTTCTCATACATATCCTCTTTCAAAATAACCTATTGCAAAACTTGTCTATGTTAAGAATTGCCTAAAGAAAGCAGATAGAGCAGATGCAAAAACAATGCTGTGACCCTATCCCAGATTGCAAAATTACAGATGCACATTTGAAAAAAAAAAGGAGAAATAAACAAGTTAAAACATTTTTCAGGTCAACATAGTATTAACAGAAAACTGTTGCTTTGTATGGACAGAGTATAAATACTACAGAATTCTAAAATTCTGCAGGTCTTCATCAATTTTCCCTATTTTTCCATTATTTGGGACTCAGACTTTATTGGTTATTATACTCATATCTGAAAAGTATTATGGCCATTTAATAATACTCTACTGTAAGCTGTCCGAGAGCTCTATTTGTAGGGACATTCATCTGAATAAAGCTTATGGACAAAAAAAATGGATGTGATTACTTATTTTTTGGTAAGTCTAATAAGACAGATAAAGTTTTTTGACTTAATTCTAATGTTTGATTTATGTAGACCTTTTTCTAAGGAGGTAGACTAGGTGGAAGACAACATTTATCACTGTCATGGAAAGGGCTGAGAAAACAAACTCACCCCTAATTGTTTGGTTCTTTATAAAATAACCAAACACAACAGTGCAGGTGGTACTGCAAGAAGCAAGTCGCAACCTACACAACTTCACAAAACAGGCAACTCAAAAGAGGTTCTGTGACCATATTCAGTTTGGCACAGGAAGAGATATTCTTCAGGCTGCAAGGAAATCACAGCCAAACTCCATTCATAGGGTTAATCTTGCCTATGTTTTCCTGACTAAATCTCAAGTATCTTGTGTAAGCTGTTGTCTGTGGCTTCCTGTAATAGTCAGCAGGTAAAGAGAGTGAGAGAGGCTTTCAGAAGGCAATTCACTCCACCTGTGAAACATATTTGGTTCTGAGTGCAAAGCACTTTTCCACTTCATTATAGGAGGAGATAAATCTTGTTGATTATTTAAATTAGATATTCTATTTTCAGGTGCTCAAAGTGAGATGAGAAATTTTCTACCTACAGGAAACAACCTATTCAGATTAAATTTTGATCACAAAATCACAGAATCAATGAAGTTGGAAAAGACCTGTGAGACATTGACTCCAACCTATGACCTAACACCACCATGTCAACTAGACCATGGCACTTAGTGCCATGTCTAGTCTTTCCTTAAACACCTTCAGGGATGGTGAGTCCACCACCTCTCTGGACAGCCTGTTCCAATGTCTAATCACCCTTTCTGTGAAGAAATTCCTCCTAATGTCGAACCTAAACCTTCCCTGGCCTAGCTTTAGACTATGTCCTCTCACCCTGTCACTAGTTGCCTGGGAGAAGAGGCTGACCCCCACCTGGCCATAACCTCCTTTCAGGGAGTTGTAGAGAGTGATGAGGGCACCCCTAAGCCTTCTCCTTTCTAGGCCGAACAACCCCAGCTCCCTCACCCACTCCTCATAAGACTTGCGCTCCAGACCCTTCACCAGCTTTGTTGTCTTTCTATGGACATGCTCCAGCACCCCAATGTCCTTCTTGAAGTGAGGGGCCTAGAGCTGGACACAGTACTCGAGGTGTGGCCTCACCAGTGACGAGTACAGGGGGAGAATCACTTACCTAGTCCTGTTGGCCACATTATTTCTGATACAGACTAGGATGCCATTGGCCACCTTGGTCACTTGAGCACACTGCTGTCTCATGTTCAGCAGCTGTCAACCAGCACCCCCAGGTCCTTCTCTGCAGGTCCACTTTACAAGCACTCTGCCCCCAGCCTGTAGCGCTGCATGTGGTTATCATGGCCAAAGTGTAGGACCCAGGACCTGGCCTTGTTAAACCTCATACCATTGGTCTCAGCCCATCTATCTAGCCTGTCCAGACCCCTCTGCAGAGCCTTCCCACCCTCCAGCAGATTGGCACTGCCACACAACTTGGTGTTGTTCGCAAATGTATTAAGGGTAGACTTGATCCCCTCATCCAGATTGGCAATAAAGATATCAAACAGGACTGGGCCCAATACTGATCCCTAGAGGACACCATCAGTGACCAGGCGCCAGCTGGATGCAGCACCATTCACTACTACTCTCTGGGTCCAGCCATTCTGTCCGTTCCTAACCCAGCAGAGTGCCCCTGTCCAAGCCATGGGCTGCCAGCTTTTCTAGGAGTATGCCATAGGAGTTGGTGTCAAAGGCTCTGCTGCAGTCCAGGTAGACCACATCCACAGCCTTTCCCTCATCCGCTAGGCAGGTCACCTGGTACTAATCAACAAATGCAGTTTCCTCCAGTTCCCTATTGCTCTGTTACTTGCTATATTTAGTGCTTAATACATATTTAATATTTAGAACATGCATGATATGTTCATTTGGTTCCAGATACTGACACTGTCTCACTGCTGTGGGTTAACTGCCTCATTTGGAATCATTCGTTATAATCAGAACAGGCATCTCATCATAATTGAAAACATAACTACTCTACAGCAGAGATCTGTGACTAACCCATGAAGTCATTCAATTTTGTACCAATGTGTCACTGCGCTGTAGACAATTACCTTCTACCTTCTAATTTTCTGGCAAAGATATCTCAACCAGTTAAAGTCAATGAGATGTGTTTGCCTTACAGGTATTATTTTAGATACTTCATTTCTTTACTAAACAGTCATGGAAGAAACAATTAGATTTCTTTCGAGAGGTCAGATAGGTAGTAAATTATGCTAATTTGATGTGTAACTAACACCCAATCCAGAACATCTGTACTAGCATGGTTACAATTTTAAAGGCCACACTCAGCAACAACCTAAGCAAGTGCAATGCTTCCTTGCATATGAAATAGCTAGAAATGTTTTTAACAGATGCTACTGAAGATAGTCCTGCCTTTGCAAAAGAACTAAGAGAGGTCACACTGGAAACCCATAGGCACATGTGCTAAATGTATTCAGTGTGACTTCTGACTATGTTTTCACTTCTGCATGATAGTTAGCAAGGTGGTGGTTTCAGTCTTCTTTGCAATTAAATCTCAAGCAATTTTTCTTTACTACAGGGTTATACTTGAAGATTTTGTGACAAATGTTAGTTATCAGCTGCTGGAGAATGTCATACTTCCTCTTTGCACATCAGATTTCCTTTAGCTTATATCCACAGTTCTTTCATGTGACAAAGGACTTTTAGTTGGTGTAGCCTAAGGAAGCCTATTACAATAAGGGAAGAAATTGCCCTGCAAGAAGTGGAATATTTTTAGTATTATTTCGGTACATGTTTTTATTATGTCTGTATCTCTCAACTCTTTGCTTTAACCTTCTTGATAATAAAAGCTTGAATCCAGTTATAAATTAACCGAAAGCACAAACGGAATGCAGATCAGTAATATACTCGCAGAGTTGTCAAAATGGGCACAATCTGATGCAGCCTAATGTTTAGTGTGTCTGCTGCATAATAATGTCTCCTGTGTGAAGAAAGTCTGTAATTTCTGTGGTTTACATTTTGGTGAAAAAAAATTTCTTAAAGCATTAAGGGCTGAAAAACATATTTCAGGTTAAACCGTAGTCAAATCAAATCTTTGTCGCAGACCTACATTAAGTTTGGACCAGCATACTTTTGAATTCAAAATAGTCTGGAAACTTCAAAAGAAAATAAAAGAAGCCTGTTTTCTGACTTCATTGTTTGGTCTGAAGAAAAATTCAAATCGCACAACCCAGCTTAGTAACAAGTTACTCAAAAATCTCTTTGTCTAGGTGACTTCAAGGGAACCAGATTAAGATGGCCTCAAAATATGTGATGCCACCCAAGTAGTTTGGACATACTGATTCCTCTACTGATGCCTCATGGCATCTACACCAATAAAAATTTGATCCTATCAAAACTGAGAAGGTTTTATCATTGACACCAATGGGACCAGGACACTAAAGCTGTTATTTCTTGGCTAAATGCTGCCAAGCTTGACAGTTGCAAGAGGGGCTTTTGTTCATGGATATATACGGGCTAACCACTTTTATACATTTTCTGTTGCTAGTCTTTCACCTAGTTTCACATTTCTATGTTCTTTCGTCCTTGTAAAACATCCAAGTATATTTATATCTATTTTATCAGTTAAGGAACAGAAGCACTGAAAAGCAAAACAGTCCGCCTAAGATCAAAAAGGTTAAATGACTCAATGGCAAAAAAAAAAAAAAAGGCAGAAACAAAGACCCAGATTGGCCACAGGCACTCTTATACTCCAAGAACCTGGCAAATTCCCAACCTCATTGCTGCAACAAATCTATCTTCACTCTTCTGGAAGCCTTCAGTGACTCAAAACTGAACACTGGAAACTATCTCTGTAAATGTTTGTCTGCAAAAGATTTTCAGAATGGACCAGCAAATTAAATCATCAATGATTTTCCATGATAGAACACTTGTATGTTTTCAAGTAAGAAGTTACACTTCATAATACATACGGAAATTATGAAGAACCAGTTACCTTCCAACTGAAAACTCTCAAACTCTAGGATCACCAGTGACTGTGGTCCCTGGTCTATGACGTAACTGCAGTTCAGATTGTTATCATACTGACTGGGGTAGTTAGGAGAGACAATACGACCTGCAGAGCTGGTGAAATTTACTCCACATCCTGCAAACAGACAAATAAGGCACAGTTATAATCCAGGTGATAGCATCGTTCTGGTTTTACAGTAAGAAAAACAATAATATACACAAGGACCTCATCTCTCCTTATGAAAAAAATATGGAGAGTAATATACATTGTGATGGCAAATGCAGCTCTTATACACACACTGAGCAGTGGTTTTGGGAAACATAGGGCCTTCCCACCTACAGTGTCACACTTTTGGAATGTCTTGGATAAGACCAGCCCATAGGTCCTCAGCCCACTGATCAGAAGGACACAGCACTGCTGTTCTTGTGGGTGTGGAGCCTACCCATTCAAAAATCCCTTAATACCTACAAATGTACCTGAAATGGGGGGATGGGGTGGGTTGGTGGGTATTTGGGTGTATCAGCAGTTCAGCATCATTTGAAAATTCCCACATTAGCCATTCTTGTTTCAACCTGACATCCAAGAGGATGCAGTCTGCTGTAGGGCCATCTCCGGGTCACTCTGCTATGTGCAGAGGCAGGGAAGGTTTACAACCCAGAATTTCTCAGACACATTATGGAGCTCCTTCTGATCCTAGTGACTTGCATGGCCTTGGGGTTTCTCTTTAAGTTAAAGGCTTAAAAGAGTGCAGTGTACAGTGAAATGCTGGTATGAGATTAGGAACAGACATATGAAGCCTGTGACTGTCTCCATGAAGAGGTTGTTAGTCATTACTGACAATATTAGTGCAAACATTATAAAAACAAAATCGGTTTCAGCTCAGAATTCTGATTACTTCAAGAGTGTCTTCCTCTAAGCACTTAATCTCTCACTAGTTTTATCTGAATCCTGTGAAAGAAAAGTGTTTTCTTTGGCAGCATCCTATGAAGAACCCCAACCAACCAACGACAGCTAAGCACTGCCTGCTGCATTTCTGGTGGGTTTGACCATTGCAAAGCACATGCTATGGTTAAAGAAATGGACAGATCCACCCAAGAAATGCCACTTGAGATACATGAAATGTAAATACAACAAAACAAAGCAAAGGCCAGAGTAGGTGGTGAAGAGTTTATGTGAAGGGCATAGGTTACATCATACACAGGAGAAATTATCACAGTTTCAGCATGTGCCGTGAAAAGAAGACCAGAGATAATTCCATAAGAGGAGCAGATCTTTTTCCTTTTTAGGAATGTTATAGCTTTAGCTTCCATGCAGTTTATCTACAGAGAAACAAATTTTTTAACATTTAAAGCCTATTCAGTTCTTTTCAGCACACTGAAAACACAAAAGTGGCTAAGAATAACTGCAAAGTTATAGCTGCATGGAGGATCTTTGGCAAGTCCAACATTGGAGCTCCATTGCATTCAGTATGGAAACTTGGTTTCAAAATCTGGGCAGAGGCTTCAGTGCCTTGTTTGGCCAGTTTCCGAATTGCTGCACACAGATCAAACTAACCAAAACAGACTAATAGAGCATCCATCTGGCTTTAATATTACTTACGGCTTATGAAAGATGCAGAGAAGCCTGGTGCAGGAGCATCCTGAGACTGAAATACTGTAGTTATCACATTGTTTGGAGCAACAACAGGATCAGGAGCTGAACTTCCACATCCTGTGGCTAACAAAGCTGCTGCTTCTTCATCATTTCCTCTCCACACCTGACAAGGCCAGATTGGAAATGGTTTAGTGCTTTCGAAGCCCCAGGTGGTTTGTGAGAAGCCACCAGGAATTACATATGCAATTTTTCTTTCCGTACGCTTGGGGTAGGATTCATCTCACACTGAACCTAATAAACCTAAATTGGAGCTAATCACTACAGTCAGTGGAGGCAAAAAGATTCTTCTGAGGAGTTGAATCACAGTGAATAACTTGGGTTGCCAGGGACCCCTGAAAGGCATCTGGAGGTCATTTGCTTGAGCCCCTGCTGGTAGCAGAGCAAACATAGATCAGGTCCAGGGGACAGGAGAAAAACATTTTATGCACATCATTGCCTACCTCCATTTTGTTTCTGCTTACTTATCTCCATACATCCTATGAATATGCATATCTGTGTATACAAGGAATTATTGTATGCAATTCTTATGTTATTCATAAGCAAATAAAACTCAAAGATGTCATGTTAGTGTAATACAGAGGCATCAAACTGGTGGACCTGGATCCTTAATATCTAGTCTAGCTAATAAAAGATTATTCCCATTTTTGTTATTTTGCATTCACTTGTTCAATGACAAGTATCAAATCATGTAGAGTGTTAAGAAAATAATTAAATTTAGCAAAAATATAATAAAGAAAAAAACGTGATTAAAAAAAATATTGCTTCAGCTCTACCAATAGCCAATTTAAGTTCAAACAAACATGCATCAAGAAGCACGTGCAGGTTCAGGGAGGTACTTAAGTGGAACCCTCTTTAGGGAATTGCTTAAATATGTTCTTGAGGCTCACAGTTTATGCACTGGAAACTAAAATGAAACATAGGTATAAATGTTTTATCATAGAATCATAGAATCAACCG